AATCAGATATTAACAGAAACAATCTGTTCTGTTCATGACACATTTTAGTTAAACAATAAATGAATCATGAACAGAACAGATTGTTTCTGTTAATATCTGATTAGAGAGAACTGAAGTCCTCGTGTGTAAAATGACCCGTCATGGCCTAAAATAAGAGTCCAGCGTTCCTGCCAGTTCTCAGGCCTGTGCGAGACCTGCTTTGAGGCAGTAATTCCTGTTTCTTCACTCGAGGTGACCCCTACAGGAGACACCTTAAAGAATTAACAGAATTTATTGAAGATTACACGTAAAAACCCACCGAACAGATTTGCAAATCTGGGAGAACACCAGACCGATACTTCCCTTCGATCGTCAAGCGTCTCATCTAACTTCTGTAACTCTTGACATTTTATACTGAAGCCTCATTCTTATGTAATTTCTGAGAATCATACATTATCAAAAAGCTGCAGCCGATCATGTAGCCCTCCTGCTTTGCCATTGGTTTTATCAAATCTGCCTATTCGCACAGCCTTGAAACAATAAGGAACCCGGACTTTGACCCTGTTCTTCAAACATGTTTTTGACCAGAGTGACACACACAGTGAAAGTAAAACAGGTCATTACATAGATCAATTATATAAGATTACTTATTTTGAAAACTTTGAACACATGATAAACTGATTATTAACAGACCACAAAATATATTTACAGCTGATCAACATTTCTACAATCCCCTCTCTTGATCTCTGGTAACACAGAGATCAATACCATGTGTCCTCCAGGACCACTTCAGAGTCTGAATGTATCTCTTAGTTCAACAACAGTTTACTCTTTGTCTACTTTAAAATCAATTTAATACCCCAAAACACACGTATTTGAGGCATTTTGGTGTTTTCGCCCCCTGCCTACCGTTTTTGGCACTGCGCTAATCACCCACACCGAGTTGAGCTCATCACCTCCAGGCTTTATAAGGCAGTGCTGGAGTTCATCTCGTCACTGAAGCATTGCCTCTGTTTGGGTATGAGCTCAGTCGGCTACCTGTTATCCTGACTTAGACATTATCTTACCTGTGGATCTGTTACCTGCCTGTTTTCAGAAACGACCTCCAGCACATTTATCTCCTGCCCTGGAACCCAAGCCATACTCACCAGGATCTCATGTGCTGCCTTCCAAGTAACACTGTAAATAAACCTGCACCTGTAAATACTCACTTGTGGAACCTCACCTTTCGGACCAACTCCTCCAAGTCTCGTCTCCTTCTCCAGCCCGTAAGCAACCTCTTCAACTACTCACCTGTTAAAGACTCTTACTGGAAAATCTGCCCATTACTCACCTTTGCAAAAACTTTGTTTCAGGTCCCGTCCCCAGATCCCTGCACCTGTGTAAATAAAATCACTTACCTTTTTTACTAACCATCTCAGTCTCTGTTTGTCATTAGTATTTGCTCATGTTGACCTCTTCCTGTCGACATGAAAGTATTATCCCAAAACAAAGACAAAAAATAACATATTTAACAGTAATGACAAACCCTGAACTTTCTGCTCGGWGGGGCACTGTAAAATGTTTACAACTTTTTATCCCTGTAAAGTTGGCGCTTCAAAGCTGCCCTGCTCTTGGCCCAAGGCAGGAGTGCAGCATTGGAAACTCGCTCAGAGAGAGGTTCTTAGGTTGAACGAACTGTTCGCTGCCTGCGGATACTGTAGTTACCCCAAGGTTGTTGGAACTCCACCTCCTGGAGATGTCGGAGGTTCTTTTTGCATGGTAGATCTAACCACCAGGTGTGAATGCAATTTGCCGAGGTCTTTGAGTCCTTTTTACCACAATTTTTGCCCCGGCTTCCTATATGTATGATGTACTGTACATCAAATTCTCTAGGTGTCTTTACTATATGCTCAGTGTACAAGCCCGAAGAATTGCTCTTCCTCCGATGGAATGCCTCCTAGCTCGACGAAAGAGCTGCTTTCCTCCGGTAAGATGCCTCCAGTAGATTGAGTGGCCTAAGGTTGTGTGGGTCTGCTCCTCCACATCAAGAGGACCCAGCTGAGGAGGCTAGGTCACCTGGTTAGGATGCCTCCTGGATGCCTCCTGGTGAGGTGTTTCGGGCACATCCCACTGGAAGGAGACCCAGAGGAAGACCCAGGACACGCTGGAGGGACATATTTTTCGGCTGGCCTTGGAATGCTTTGGAATTCCCCTGAACACGCTGGTCAAAGTGGCTGGGGAGAGGGAAGTCTGGGTCTTTATACATTATACAGTATACTGTATATATATTTTTTACCAAAGCAAAAGAATGTAGTACCATCTGCAAAAAACCCTTTAAGTAGTTGAGCACTTAACTTGAGTAATTGTATCAAAATTTCCTGTTTTCATCTGTACTCTTCATAACAATGTAGAATTTATTTCATTTATACCCCCTTGCAGACTTTTGATCAACCTATTTATTTATTTGTTTATATTTTGTCCACCCTTAACAAATGTTCCTGCACCAAAACAAAAAATAAAGTCGGTGTTCATTTTGCTTGGATAAATACAACACAATCAATAAACAATAAGTTAAGGCCTTAATTAATTTTGTCTTAAAGTTTTCTAGAATAAAATATAATGAAATGAAATKGAATTCCAAAAATCCATGTTAGATTAGACAATTCATTTTCCCATAAAGTACTTTTTACCCTTTAATTTTGTTRGGTTTTAACTTAATTAATTATTTTCCTCCAATCCTATGAGTCATGACTCGTGAACACATACATGACACACATACAAACAGGACAGGACAGTGGCCACACATACAGACACACAAAACAACATTTATACTATACTTATTCTTTTGTCGAATTTCACACCTGTTAAGAAGAACTTGAGAGTTAGTCAAATTAATATTTATCTGTGTTTTAGATGATCATACTACTACGTCGTGTCTACCTGTCATAATTCATGCACTCTGTCCACACTCCCTGTTACCTGCTGGCTTTTTTCTACCTCCATGTTGATATTTCCTCTGGTGAGGCCTGCTTTTGTCCTCTTTTACTACTGAGAAAGAATTGGGGTATTAGGCCCTGTCGGCCCACTGGTCTTTTAAACATACTGAGCAGGTATAAGGCAAKGAATGATGTAACTCCTGAAATCATTAACTCCTTGGATAACAGACAGACAGACTAGTCCTTTACAGTCACACTACTTAAAAATCAGCTCTTTGCTTGTGAAACTAATATTCTGAATACTTAACACATAATACAATGGTACCACAACAACCAACCAGCAAACTGCAAGAACCTCAACCACGTATCAAACAACAAAATTCATTAAGGAGCAACCATACACCAATTGGCCCTACAGCAACTACTGTATACAACAAATACTCTTCTGAGACTTAACATGCCAATTCCTGGCCCCTGTTACCCACAAGAACATCTTACGAACTTTATCACTTTCTCTTAACTAACATACCCATTTCTGCACTCCTAAAGTCTTCCAAACCAACTGTCCTGAAGGACCCCAACCAGAGTCCAAAGTCTCACGATCAAACTCGCCTTCCCTTTCTAAATTATAAATTTATTAACTGTATTTATTTATATTAACTGTATTTATTTATTAGGTACTTATTAATTTATTTGTTGTACTTAATCAGTTAAGTTATGCTCACAATCTCTCACGCCAGCGTCCTCTTCAAGCGCACTCCTCAGTCCAGGACATACACATATACACACAGCGTGACACTCAGTCTCAGTTACACACACAGAAGCACAGGCTTGACAAACCTCACAGACACCCACCTTGCTGTGCACGCAGACATACAGGCACACACAAATATGCACAATAAACATGCAGTTCAGTGTACCAGCAGTCAAACAAACATGAACACACTGTCAGTTTATTATGTAAGCCTTATCACACTCCAAGTACACAGCAGCAGAGAGTCTGCCGAGCGGAGGGTACAAAGTACACTCGACTCCTGTCAAGAGACCCGACCACACCAATCACCGCCAGAGTTGGAATCAGACCCACAGAGCCCCCTCTTGACCCTCAGTGGAGAAGAGAGCACGACAGGAAGAGGAGCCACAGAAAGGATCGAAATGGAGGCCAAGAGGAGAAGAAGGTCAAGAAACAGAGAGAACAGAAGTGATTTATTAAAATTATCAATTTTAATACTGGCAAATATATATGTAACCTGAGTAATGATTATATGCTTAATTGCAATGTGTGATTTAACTAAAGTACTGTGCTTGTTAATGTGTTTTTTTAATGTAAGGTGGTGATTTAGGAAGAAAAGAGTCAAAGTGTGTCTTAAGATGAAGGAAGGGTGTGTGTGTGCTATTTCGGACGGTGGAAAGTACAGAGCACATTTCTGTATGTAACAGGGTTGTTATTGTTTATTGAATTTTGTCAAAATACAATTACAGATTTTTTATATTTTACTTGTTTTGTACCAAATATTTGCAAGGAGTTATAAAATGTGTTCTTATTGTCTGGGAAAACTGTTTTAATCCAATCTTACATGCATTCAGGGCTCTTTTTGTTTATGTGGTTTTGGTGTCCCCTAGTGGCGGGTGGTGGTAAATATAATTGCAGGACGTTAGCAGCCCGTCCCCTTTTGCTGCCTGATGTTCTGTGAGAAGGTATGGACTGATGAAGCTCCGTGATTTATTAGAAGTTTCAAGCTAAAAATATACAAACTTCTGATGAGTAAAATGGTTAGGTGATGTTGTGATTCTGCTTCTATTGTAATTCTACTGCTAAGAGTTTGTAATGCTGCAGTTTATCGCGTATGGAGAGTAAATTAGCTGAATCTGTTAGCGTCGTTAGCTGTTAGCAACCGTRCCTCGTGCTTGAATGATGTTAGTGAAATAACTACTCATTTAGCTGTGTAGGGGCAGGAGCTACGATCAGACCACCACCAACCACTTTTATGTTTTCTGTAACAGGTATGGTTATGTTTTTGRAAGGAATGTTCATTTGTAACATCTTTGAGAGGTTATGTTTGTTTTATGTGTTTGTTTTATTTTGATGAAAATTATATTGTCTTAAAAACTATACGATCACATTGTTAAAAGTTGGCGGCCCATCCCCTTTTGCTGCCTGACGTTCTGTGAGAAGGGGCAGGAGCTACGATCAGACCACCACCAACCACTTTTATGTTTTCTGTAACAGTTGGTGTGAATAAATGGTGTGAAGCCAARAGAAGTCCTKTCYTGAGTGTGTGGTTCTTCAGTTCGCTGGTGACGAGTCGTAAATAAAGGGGTTACATATGGTGCCGTGACCCTGCCAAGGATCATCTGCTGATCTGACATCCAGCGAGCTTCGGGACTACTGGTGATTTTTTTTGTGGAAATCCAAGTTGGACTAAGTTTTTTATTAACAAGTTGCTGTCTAGCATTGACCTCTATTTTGGTTTCGGAAAAAAAACTGAATTTTTTTTTTTTTACAAGACACTAAGTAAATTTTATGTTGGGAGGCCTGACAATATTYATTGTTTTTACTAAGGTAGCTGTTACAGTAACTTTTGGGGTGCCATTTAAACGCTACTAAAATTAACCGTTTTTTTCTTCCTCGTGTTTGCCACACTATATACACTCACCGGCCACTTTATTAGGTACACC